GGCGGAGGAGGGATGGAGGACCTCCTCGAAGCGGCACCTCCCCGGGGAAGAGGGATTGGGCTTTGTTGGGGTGAATTTAACCCCTTTAATCAATTCTGAAAGAGGAGCAGGGAGTGGGGAGGCTCTGCCACTGCTGCTTCTCCGAGGAGGAGTAACAGTTTATAGCCAAACGCTTCACCAGAAAGCTAAGTGCAGGTTTGCCACTGTTACAGGTGTCCCAGCTGGTGTTGCTCCAGCTGCAATTGATGCTGGAGGTTTTGGGGGGTGTCCCAGGACCCACCTTGTCCTCAGCCTCTGCCCCAGGGGCCACCCCCCAGCACAGCAGGGTCACCAAAGGGGACCTGTCCCTGGGTGCGTGGATGGTGTATCTCCAGCATCCTTGTGCCTCTCCAGGGACCTCTCTGGCTCCCAGTTCTGACTCCTCACAGGAGAGGAGACTTTCTCTCAGGAATTAGTTTTCCCTCAACACACAGCAGCTCTCTGCTCCGCAGCGTCCCCTTTCCTGGAGATACGAGGCGCTGCCAGCTGTCCTCAGCACAACTAGCCCTCCTCCAGCCTGCCAGTGCATTTCAGAAGAGAGCGGCACCATTTCTGCATCTCCCATTCCTAGAAAATACCTCTTTTTGACCGCGTTATTTCCAAGCGATGTAACATCACTAAAGAGAATAAACCCATGGCTGCCTCTACCTCGCCAGGCGTTGCAAGGCTGCGCTTCCAGACTGCAGCACCCTCTCACACCCCGGGTTCCTCAGCTGTAATTTGGGGGTCAGCTCTTTCGGTGGAAGTGTAAACGGTACATTTACACGAACAAGAGGCGTTTGGGAAGCGTGCCCAGCCTGGCAGAGCGTGCGGCCGAGCGGCGGCATTGCTGGGACAGGCCGGAGCATCGGACTGTCTGGAATGTGGAATGTAAACAGAGCGTGTTACCAGCAACAGCCCGGCTTCGTGCTACAACCCAAACCTACCGTGCTGTCTCTTGGGAGGAGCAAAACCCATGCTCCTGCCTGCTCGAATTGCAGCCCAGGGGCCACTTGTCACTTGTCATGTTGGATCAAATCATAACTGTAAATAAGCTGTGCTCCTTCTCCGCACCCCACCACCCCCCAGCCCTGACATTTTCAGCTATTGAAACTCCAGCCTCAGCCTCCCTGGCTTGCACCCGGCCGTAGGGAGCGATGTAAATACGCTGTGCTGGGAGCCCAAGTGCTCGGGCCATGCTCCCAGGGCTGAGGAGTGCTGGCCCCAGGAGGGAAGTGCCTTCCATTCCTCTGAGCCTGCCCGCCTTGCTGTGGACCAACACAGAAGGGAACAACTCCACCGGCTTTTCACGCCTTAATGTTTTCAAACATCTTAAACTGATGAACACAAATGTTGAAAGCCTGCTCGCAAGAGGCTACCTTTGCAGGATAACTCCAGAGGACTGTTTGGCCTGAAATCTCAAGGCAGGACTGGGAAGCGTGAGCAGGGGCAGATCAGCCGGCAAAGGAGAGGAACCAGTTGCGATCCCACTCACCCCAAGCTCTACGCAGTCATCGTGAGGTCAGTCAGCCTTATGACCTGAAAAAAAATCCAATAGCTTCAGCCCATGCCTCCCTGTTCATTTGCAATGGGAGCATGCCGGGCTCACCCAGGCTCCGAGGTGCTCCGTGACAGGAGAAGGGTGCTGCAGGTAGCACCCAGGTTAGGTGATGGAAAGACAAGAGTGGCTGCCTGCAGGTCGCAAGGAGCCATGGCCAGCACCGGGACCAGGACTCCTTTGTCCTGCACCTAGCAAGGGCTTTACAGACCCTCCATCATCCTCACCGCCTGGATGGGGTCCTTCTTGCACAAGATCCTCTTCCTCATGAAGGAAAGAAGCAGCATTTTCTCCATTTTTTGGAGAGGAAGATTAGGCAGGAGAGTAGCTGATGAGCACACAACATGCACATCTGCCACCTTCTTTCTTTTCTCTCACCTCCAAGACACAGACACATGCATGGTAGTGACTGTCTGAGAGACTTGGGGCTAGATTTGTTAGAGGATGTGCTTTTTGGGGATGAGAAAAAAAAGGGTGTACACTTATGTAGAAAATGAATACAAAGCAACAAGGCAGCAAAAATCATACCCTGGACATGGACCGGAGAGAAGAGTTGTTGGACGGAACCTGTGAAACATGCTGTCTGCCAAAGTGACCCAGCCCAGTGGTGACAAAGGGATGCCTGAGGTCTTCGTGTCCTGCAAGCACCTCTTCCTGCCTCCCACCAAGTGCAGCAAACCAATGCCGATCAGTTAAGCCACACTTTTTATTGTATTGTATTCCATGCAATATGTTCATGTTTTATAGTTTGACAGAGGGAGGGATAAAGATAAATGTTAGACATAAACAAAAGCAGAAAGGTCATTTGTAACAGGTCCTGAGAAGGAAAGGCACATCGTAACCACTGAATTCAACAGAATGGAAACCTTGGATAGAGGAAGACAACGCTGGAAAGGGGACGAGGGAGGGGGTGTTTCAAGTTGGGCGATGTGGAAGCAGGTTTGACAGCAATCTGCATTTCCCCACCCACCAAGGTCTGTAGTTCAAATGGGTTTGGGGACCTCAATATTTAACCAAACCACTTCCACACTGCCGTTGCTGGAGAGAGTCCAAGATCCCCAACTCCTCCAGGCTTAGTCAGCACCAAGGAGCAGCGCAGGACTCAAAGCTCCATCCTGCAGAGACGAGCTGGGAAAGGGCAGCTGGTGGAGAGGCAGGAGGGAAGGCTGCCCAGCACTGAGGGACCCCGAGCCATCTCCCACCCGGCACTGCCAGATGACAGGAGCACCGTGGACCGCGGCATCGCTGGTGACCTGTGGGTATTGCTATTCGCCGACATCAAAGACCACGGGGAAGGGAATGCCGGGGCAGAGAATGAGTACAGCAGAGAAACGGTTGGCACGGACACTGGCACACATCTCCGTCAGGTCAGACACCAGAGGGATTGTAGCACCTCGAAGGAAGCAGCAGCAAAATCGTGTGCTGTGCCTGATTTAAGGCAGCAGTTGCCACTTGTGATCCAGCGCCAGGAAGCACAAGGTTCCTGCCAGAGCAGCACAAAGGACTCCACGGCTGGGCTTGGATGCTGGGACCCTGCCGGTACAGCGACCACAGCACACCCTCCAGTGAGCCACTCTCATGCACTGGACACGACAGGGTACTTCTGGGAACTGTCACACAGTGGAAATGAGCAGAAAACCAGAGCAGAGGCGTGCGGTGCTGGGCTCACGCTATTGCTCCCACGAGACAACCAGGCAAACATCTCTTCCAGGCACCCAGTCCCGCTGCGACAGAGATACAACGGTGTCTTATCTTGGCTTGCAGGAGAGGAGACGGTTCAGCTTCACTTTGGGATCAAGAGCAGGGACAGTTCTGTCATCACTTGGCTATAACAGAGCCAGCCTCGCTCCTGTAACTAGATGTTGAAGTGTTTTGCATGTTAAAAGGGTGAACATTTAGCAGCCGAGATTTCTTCCTGAGCCCCTTTTCTTCAGTTTGTTACCTGCGACCCTTTCCCAGTTCCTCTAAGCCATCCTGAAGATCACAGCCAGGCTGAAACAGGCAGCAAGAGGGCAGAAGCACGAGGCAGCGGCAGGGCTGAGCCTGATGCCTTTCCTGAGCAGCACAAGCCGGAGATGGGTCTGCCGCTGGGCACAGGTCCCTCCCCAGGCAGGTGGTGGGCACGGGTAAGGGTCTTACAGCCTGGGGTGTGGCAGGGCAGGGATGGAGTTTGAGAGGTTTTACTCAAGCCTGTGAGAAGAGGGCTGCGTTATGTTGGCAGTGGGCAGCCCAAAAGCACAGGCAGGCAGCAGGGCTTCGCCTCGAGCCGGTGGCCAGGAGGAACAGCTCAGGGTGTTCCTGGCTGAGATCAGGCACAGGGTTTCCATCTCTGACCAACCCTACCAAGTGAGAAGGTTGTACAAGCTTTTGCCTTTGCCTTCATGAACTTTGCACTGGGCTCCAGGAGAGGGCTGTGCTGCCTCTTGGCTGGGGCTTCATTCGGTCCGTGGCAGATTGTAAACTTTAGTCCCTGCTGAGAGATAAGCTAGACCTGGAGTTGGCCTCCAGGTGAAAGGCTCTTTAGCTGGTTCTGCCTGACTGCAGCCCCCAGTGGCTGCTCAGGGCTGGTGTGCCAGCAACACTGCCTCCCCCACCACAGCCCAGCCCTGGGACACTGCAAAATCCCAAGAGCCTGGGGGAAGATGCTCTGGGGTCTAGCTCAGGCCCTGGAAAGCCTGGACAAGGCAGGACAGGCAGCAGGCTGGAGCCAGGCAGTGCCCTGCCATCACAGTGTTACCTCTACATCTGACTGCGGCAACGCTGAGCTGTGCTACGGGGTCATCATCTGCAGAGGTAACGACGCAATGGGAGGGTGTTCCTCCCTGCTGCTGTCCGAGGACCCAACGCTGCCAGCACCCAGGGCTTGGAGCCACGAGGAGGCCAGTGAGCAGACGGATAGTGCCCTAAGCCAGGGCTTCTTTCCAAAGGCCGTAAGGAGAAGCGATCAGCATCCACGTGGAGGCAGGTGGCTCTAGGATCAAGCCCTGGAGATGGGCCAGGACCAGGTTCCGGAGGCCTTACCCCTGTTGCTCTCAGGATGCGATGACAGCTCAGGCCTTATGATCTGAGGTGCAGAGCTGGAGTTGAGGGAGATGGGGGGAGCCTTCCTCTTCTGCTGCAGGAAACCACCCTGGTGCCTGCAAAAGCATGGGATGTCCCCTCACTGCTTAGGCCGGGGCTGGCCATCGAGGCTGGTGCTCTTCTCCTGCGTGGGCTGTGTCCACACCAGCACAGACACCGATAGCAGGGAGCAGAGACAGGAACGATGGCGACCCTGAGGGGACATCACGCTGGGGCTATGTACAGAAGGCTGGGAAGGAGCTGTCACCTCCAGGGAGCAGCATCTGCCACTCAGCCGCCTTTCTTCCTCTGCACGCTCACGCTGCGTATGCTCTGCCACAGCCCCCGTGGCCAAAGCCCACTCCTCGTGGGGCTCCTGTCTCTAGGCTCGAAGGTGTCACCAGCCCAGCGTCTCCACAGCCAGCGCAGCAAAGCCCCCGAGGCACCACCATGGCCCACATGTTCTCACTTGTGCCCCACGTGGGCTTGGACAAGGCTCAGTGCCCAGCAGATGCTGCAGGGGATGAACCTGCCAGGGGGCTGGGGCTCCTCCAGCACCTCCCTCTGTCCCACAAAGCTTAATCCACAGCATCTCCCCCAGCTGCTGGGAGGAAAGGGGGGGCTGGTACCCCACGACCACCCCTAACCAACATCCCCCAGCAAGTTCACAGCTGTTGCCAAGCGGAGGGGAGAGGATAAGGCGCAGAGCGAGTCATCCCCTGGTCTTGTGATGGAGTTTGGTGGAAAAATCATCCTCTTCCACCCCCTGGCTTGGGAAGAAGAGCACTGGGGGGCACCATGCGTGCCCGCAGCCAGCCTGGCCCAAGGGCCGTAGCCACGCTCACATGTGGGCAGAGAAGAAGAGGTTGTGCCCACACTCATGCACCACATGGATGCTCTTAAAAAAATGGGACTTATGAGTGTGGGAGGGGGATTTCCTGAGACCGCAGAGAAGCAAAGGCCGCGTTGAACAGTCAGGGACAGGCGCGCTGGTGTCAGAGCAGTCCTGCCTTAAGGCTGCAAGTGTTCCAGGTACTGCGGCAGTGGGTTCTCCTTGACGTATTTCTGAATGTACCAGCACGTCAGGTGAGCTTTCAGGTCTTCCTCCACCACAAAATCCAGGGCTGCCTGCAAGCAACCGGAGAGGACAAATGGGTTACAACCAGCACCCCCAGCCTGTGCTCTCCCCAGAAACCTCCCGGAGGTCCGGACTCCCGTACCCCGCACACAGATGGGAGAAGCAGCCGATCGCCCTCACGGACCTGCTGTGCCAGGCAGGCTGAGGGACAGGGACAGGGGGAGAGCATGGCCATCTTGCCACAGCCCCCACAGGGTCCCCAGTTTAACCAGAGGCACTGGGGACCCCCGGGTAACCCTCAACACATCCAGCCTGGTGGTGACCCACTGCACTGCAGGAGATTCAGCCACATCACGTAAAGGCCACTTTCATCACCCATTTGCCCTGGCTTACGGCGCCAGGGAGCAGCTGTAACCCCAAACCATCACCCTGCAGCCCTCCCCACACTGCTCGCAGCTCCTCAGCTCTCCCTGCACAGCTGCAGACCTCAAAAGCAGGGTCCAAGGCAGGAGAAGGGCTCGGGAGGACCTTAAATCTTTGACGTGAGGGGGTCCAGCCCCCAGGAGAGGCGCTACATCAGCCCTGGCAAGGTGGGCATGAGGGCTGTTTGCTGTGCGGAGGAAAGGGCCGAGCCTGGACGAGCGGCTGGATGTGCTGGCACCCACCCAGCCCCTCTCGCTGCCAGAAATAGGAATAGCTGACCACGGATTTCCACCTGCCCCACCATCAGAGCGGGGATGGTTCCTGTAGGGCAATGCCAGTGCAATGGGGCCTGGCTTCAACCAGGGTCTCCAGCCACAGCTGGGACAGCGACAGCTTCTGCCCAGGGGGAGAAGGGGTGGCTGGGGCCGTACCTTCGCGAGGTGCTTGGCTATCCCTCTCCCTCGGTAGGCATCCGGTACTTCTGTGTGCTGCAAGTCCACGATCCGCTTCCCCACGTATTCGTAGAGCAACACCGCCTTGTCATGGCAACCTGGGGGATGCGAGAGCGGGGTGAGGCTCGGGATGTCCCCAGGCTCCCACCCCACCGTGGGACTGCTACAACAGCCCTCGCACCGTTCCTCACACCCACGGGAACGCCTGTGGCACTGGGTGGTCTCACGCAGTGAAAAGTCTCAGCGGATATTTTACTTTTGGTGACACATGGACATCCTTGTTGGTTGTCCTTCCGCCGAGGAGCAACAAAAGGCGGATCTGCTTGGATTTTCCAAGCCTCTGGACCTTTTCTACCCAGCCCTGAATCAAGGGCCGAGGTGCCAACACAACACATTTAGGGTAGGAATGCAGCTGGCGGGGAGGGGTGGGATGTGTTGATGGGGGAGGGAGCCGAAAGAGGAGGGGGAAGAACAGGGCAAAGCTGACCCAGGTAACAGCCAACTCTTTCCTCTCTACAGCACAGATGTTCTTTGCCATGGCATATAAAGCAGGAGAAGGACTTCTTGGCCTGGTGTCACAGCATTTGGACAGATGCATTTTGGGGAAGATGCTGGGCAGAGATGAATCCCACAGACAGGAAAGGGCACGCAGGCGTGGAAGGGGGTTTGTGCACACACATTTACATGCACGCACACACACACAGGCTTCCTGTTGCGACACCCTGACCTTTCTCACAGCAGTTCAGTTACAGGGTAAAAGAAGTGTCAGCACACGTGTAAATCAGAGGAGAGCTCATAACACCCCTCTGGCTTCCTCTGCCGAACCTGAGCTTCTGTCTTCAACGCAAAAGCAAACATTTCATTTCTAGAGGGTTTCTGTATTTCAAGTATTTACAGGCATCAGTCCTGCCCCTCTCAGCCTCTAGTTCACCAAAAAGCCAGGCTCTTTTGGTCTCTACAGATCCCAGATCCCCGCCTCTGTCTCAGGACAGAGAGTTTGGGGTGAACGGCTGGGACAGGCAGAGGTAAGGGGGTGGGAAGGGGCTTGCCTCTTCCCCGTTAGTAAGATCAGTGCACATGAGATCTTACAGCCCCATTTTACAGCCATAAATCTTTGCAGGTGAACCACAGCGTTTCCCTGCGTGCATCCAGGCGTCCCCAAAAAAGCCAAGAGCCAAGGGAGCAGCTGCGAGCCCAGCTCCTCCCCAGCAGCACAGACCCACCTCCTTCGAGAGGAAGCCCACCCAGGTCGGGGCACAAGCAAAGCCGGGCGCCCTCATCCTCCCATCAGAAGGGTCACGTTTGGTGGCAGCTCTCTTAGAGGTGCTATCGGCAGAGCTGGCAGCACCAAAGGCTGTAAAACGCTCTTATAACAGTGGCTTTCACATGCTCCAGACGTGCCACTCCGCTCTCCTCCCAGGCCAAAACTTCCCATAGACTCTGCCTGACGTTTTGGTAAGATCAAAATTAAATCCTAAGTGATGACAGAGCAAAAGATTGTGGGTTTTTTTTGTGTTTTTTTTTTTTTTAATATACTTTAATATATTTTTATATATTTGATCCATATAGAAATATCACCCACGAAAATGCATTTTAAAGCAGAAGATGATGCACACTGAAAAATCTCAGATCTGTCCTGGACAGACTTTCCCTCGATATTCACTGTATCACAGTAGCACCGCAGAACGCCAGCTGGGATGGGAGCTGCAGGGTGCCACCAGCGTACAGACGGACACACACAGAGCCCAAAGGATTTTTCAACTGGCTCTGCAGAGAAAGCCAGTGCTTTGGAAAGCCAATGCTGTGGGAAACTGGTCCCAGTTCAGAAAAACAGCCAAGTACATAAATGCATCTGTACATGCTCACCTCAGTGATGGGACCCTGAGCCAACCGGGACATGAAATCCAGGACACTCGTGCCATAGGGTTTGGTGCGGGCCCTGCAGGTGACACCAATGGCTTGGGAGGAGATTGCTGCTGTGTCCCCACTCCTGTGCAGCCCTGGGGCTGGGCTGGGCTGGGCTACGCCGAGCGTCTCCCAGTCTCCCATCTCCAGCTCCCTGCTGCAGGATGGTAGGTGATGCAGACCCACAAATCAGGGTGTTTTTTTGCATCCAGACTGCAAGAGAAGCGGATGGAGGGGGACAGCCAGAGGTGAGTGGTTATGCTTAAAGGTCATCGTAAATACACCCTACAGCCTCTCCAGGCAAGAATGTGTCAAGCTAAACCCATAAGCTGGGCACAGCTGGATGCATGGGATTGCACTGCCACGGGGGCCAGAGGTGGGAAAAAGCCCAGATCAGCAAAGGTGAAACAAGACAGGATTCGAAAGGATTTCAGTCTTGTGAGAGAGCATTCCGCTCAGATTCTCCACTGTCTGCTGTCGGGCTGTGCGCTCGCAGCAGCCCTGCCTGCAAGGAGACGCCGGCTCACAGCACACATCCTGCAGGAACAGCCTCTCCTGGAGATCGAGATCCCTCTTCCTCCACTGAGTAAGGCTGGAGGTGGCCAACGGCTTGCAAAGGGAGGGGAAGGACCGGCCAGCAGAAAGCCCATTTCCTTCAAAAACAGCTGCTCTGCACATCCTCTCCACACTATCCTCACTGGGGCCCAGAGCCTCTGGGAAAAGCAGGGTGAAGCAGGCTGTACCCCCAGACCAGGACCGGTCCTGTGTTCTGCAGGCATAACCCATATTTTCCCACCAAAAAAGCCTCCCCGGGGCCAGAGGGATAAGACGAGGGAACTGAGGTGCTTCACTGCAATATGTGGTACCTTGGGCACAGAGGGGCTGCTCCCAGCAAAGGGACTATTGCAAAGCTGGGGGGAACTGGAAGCAGCGTTGAGCCTTCGCAGGAACAGCCCAGCCCCAGCTCGTCACAGTCTCCCCCAAAGAGAGGGCACGCAAGCAAAAAACCACACCAAAACATGGCATAAGAGGGATGCCGCAAGACACCCTCCCCCCTGTCTCGTGCCTGTAGACTCCAGGGCAGGGATTTTATCAGCCTGCACGGACTGAGCTTGGCAAAACAGGCTCAGGTCTCGGCTGGCCCGAGCAGCGTCCCGTGAGCCCGAGGATGATGTTTGACTCGCAGACACTCCCCTGCGCAGCGCCTCGGCTTTGAGGCCACCGCAAGCGAGGAAGTCTGAGTCAATGCAAATCAGCACAGCAAGAAAGAGGAGTTAAGAGGAGGCTGCGCCATGGAAATGGCAGCAATGGCAGCGCAGCTGGTCCCCAGCCCTCCCTCCCTCAAATCGCAGGGTGCACAGGGAAGGGGGAAGCTTTTCCAGGAGGTAGGAGAGGGACCAGGTCTAAACTTGCTCTCCATGGAGGGTTTCCACCGGGACCAGTGGTACAGAGCATCCACCCGAGCAGGGTGGACAGCTCTGGGCAGCAGACGAGGCCCCTGCGCCACAGGCTCAGCCACACCACCAGACACAAGCCCCAAAGCCAGGCAGCTTGTGAGCCTCAGGGGGACAAGCAGCGAGCCCAGCCCCAGCCCCGAGCACATCAGGCAACTGGGAAGACGCAGGTACCTCGCTCCATCCCATCCTTCGCTGCCCCCTTCTCCCAGGGCATGCACAGTACCTGCCCGGCGAGGGGATGCTGCAGCACTGGCAGCACAGCAGGACCCGTCCCTCCAACCCGAGTCCTTCTCCCTGTCCCTCTGAGCCAGCCCCAGCCCACAATACACCATTGTGTGCCCAGGACCCGAGCAGGGCAGGGGCTCGGGGAGGGCTGGCTGCCTGCAGGCCAACTCCTGCACTCAGTTGCCAGCCTTTGGAGGCAGCCCCTGAGCTCCACCCTCCTTCGGACACTGCTGCAAAGCCATTCCCTGAGAGCAAAGTGGGGGAAGAGAAGAGACACCAGCCCCATTTCCCGCTCTCAGACCCAGGAAAGCCCAGAGGCAGGCAGCCACTCTGCTCTTCTGGCTGCCGAGCCAAAAGGTGGCCACCCGAAAGCTGCGTGTGGGGTGAGCCAAGAGGACGAGATGTCCTGAGGAGCGTGTGCATCCCAGGCTGGGGCTCACTGCATGCCGCAGGCTGGCCTTGCTCCCCAGGGAGCCACTGGCACGTTACTACGGAGAGAAAACAACACAGAGCACAACAGACAGCGTCGAGCAGAGACGGCGCAACTGTCACCGAGGGGCCTCACTCGCAGGAGCGGCGGTGGGGGAGCACTCTGGTTTGAAGCAGTTTCCTGTTTAGAAGCTCTCTCGAGGCGACTGCGGCACAGGAGAAGAACGGGGACGTCTTGATTCAGTGTCCGGCGACCAGGTCCCTTCATCCCCGCTGCAAACTCGGCAGCTTTCTCCTCCTGGAGGACATCTGCCCCAGCAGGGAAGAAAGCACCAAGGCATGACCTGCTCCAATTTTCCTAAAAAACCCAAGCCTGGACTCCTGACAAGGAACTCCTGAGACTCAAATCAGCAGCAGGCAAAGCAGGAGCTTCCAACCACCAGATCCTGCCCAAACCCAGCTGGGGAGGAGCAGGAGGTTTGGGAAGTGTGGCTTGCTGCACCCACGCATCGAATGAATGGGAGCGCGGGTGTGCAAGAAGCCCACGCATCCCCGAGGGACTGGAGCCGCTCGGTGCATGCGGTGAGCCCATCTCCTGACCGGAGATCCTGAAGTGTTTGATGGGCATCGAGCAAAGAGGCCACTGCTAAAAGTGCTGTTCCCCTGCCCCAAGCAGCTGTGCCAGCAGCTGGACTCACCAGCCAACTACTCTGGGGGGTGTGTGAGGAGTCTCTTTGGGTTTCTTGTTTTGACCAGAAATTTTATCTCTGATCAAAAAACCCCTCCAACTATTCCTGTCAAAGCTGGCCTATGTGATTCCTATGAAAGTTTTTAGCTTTGACAAATTGATGTTTTCCAACAAAGTCGCTGCCTGAGGAGGTTTCTGGCTAGCTCGTGCTGTTAGTCGCATCTTAACCCTTTACAAATCCAGTTGGGCTTCTTTCTACCCTCCTCTCGGAGGGACAACAAAGCTTGGTGAAGTCTGGTTATACTCAGCTGTACAGCGTCTCAATGCTTCTGTGTTTGGGATGCAAGGAAAAAAAGGAATGTGTTAAAGTGAAGCAGCTATTTCTATCAGAGTTTTAGGAGCCATGTGCAGCAACGAGGGCTCACAGAAGGGAAAGACACAGCAACCCAGAAAACACCACACACAATTCATCTTTCTTGTGTCTGAGGAGGGAGTCCTGACACGAGGTTACATGGGGGCGCAGAGGCGAACACAGGGCGATGCTGAAAACAAACACTTTCACAACCAATTCACAGCTTTCATGGTGTCTCAGGCCTCTCGTGACAGCGATTTCCATAATAATATCAGCACAGAAGGTTTTCTCCCCATCATCACGCTACCGTAAACCACCAAGCCACCAGCCCAGTGACCAGCTATTACTGGAGCTGAGCGAAGCCTGGGTCCTTGGTCCACGAGCCCGACGCATCCATGTTTTCCCAGAGCACCACCCACACTCAGCATCTAGCTGAAGTTAGAACCAAGACACCAGAGACAAGCTGACCCTGGAGCCCACTGGCGAGTTGTGGGTTCATCTCTGCCAGAGTGCAGTAGCACAGGACAAGAGTGCTCTCAGAGGGACGCGTGGGTCACACCAAAGCTATGATCTGTGCCCGGCCCGTTTCTTTGGCAGGGAAAACCTGCCAGAGCATTCAGCATCACTGATGCTCATCGTGCCAGGAGCGAGAGTGAGGAAGAGAGCAGCCCAGGAAATAAACACCCTACCACGCACTCCCACGGGGATGGTTATCTTCTGACCACCTTCCAGAGCTTGGCTATTATCAGCAAATGCCTAATGAGGAGGAGGAGAGATGGATCACCTGCCCCGCGTGGATGTTAGTCAGCCCCGCAGCAGGAACACCGTCACACCAGGACACTGCACAGTTCGGCTTCCTTACGTGGCCGGCACTGAACTCACAATAAAGGGTTCAATTTCCCTGAACTCCCAGAAAAAAAGCCAACCCTGATCATGGGGATCCACCTACAACCCTGGGAAGACCGTGGCTCCACTGAGCCGCAGCGGTCTCCTCCTGAAGCAGGAGGTTTTGTGCCGATTCACACTTGACTCCCACCACAGGTCCCACAGTTGATGCTCTCAAAGTTCATCCTCTCCAGACCCAACTCATCCCCACTCAGCCGCCAAACACTACTCGGCCCACGGCGTGGCTGGCAGAGGTTTTATTCAGCAAGCCAAGATAAAAAGATAACATTTCCCTAATAACTGTTGGTCCTCAGCTCTTCCCTCTCTTCGATGCACGTACAAACTTTGCTGACAGCGACAATGCTGCATTACCGCTCTCGCGATGGCACTGGGGACCCGTCACCTGGGACCTCCTTTGAGCTCTCTCTCTGTTTGAAATAAGCAGTTGGTGAAATTGTTTTCTCCGCACCCAGCGCACACGTCTCCTCCTTGCTCCACCACTGCTGAGCCTCCAGCTTGCACTTTGTAATTAGTGGTTGAAATTAAAAAAAAAAAAAAAAATTAATAAGTGAAGTATAAGTGGAAGAAGAGCGAAAGAAAACAAAACAAGTGATGCAAAGGCAATCACTCACCACCTCCCTTGGGTAGACCGATGTCAAGCCAGTTCCCAAGCAAAAGATGGCTAACCTCCCTAAACCACCTTCTTTTCCCTTTTATTGCTGAGCATGACATTATACGGAACGGAATATCTCTGCTTAGTTTGGGTCATCTTCCTCGTTGTGTCCCCTTGCAACCAATTGCGCAGCCTCCAGTTTGCTGCGGGGGACAGACTGAAACAGAGGCGGCCTTGGTGCTGTGCAAACACTGTTCGGCAATATCTAGAACATATGTGTTAACAGTATTGTTTTGGTCATAAATCTAAAACAGCACCATACAAGCTTCTATGAAGAAAGTTAACTCTCTCTCTATCAAATAGATTAAATCAGCAGTCTAGGAATTCTTTTCTTCTAAAACTGATGGAGTAAGAGACAAATATTAGGGAAGAAATCATTGCTAAAATATCTCAGCTAGCAGTAGAGAATCTCTTCCATGGTTTCTCTCTTCCTTTAAATAAGAGAGAAATCAGTTGAAAATTTATGGACTGAATTCTTTTGTGAGTTATGGGGGGAGAGAACAGTCTAAAATAAAATCCAGACTATTCCTGTTGTTTTATTGAGAATGCCTCCTACAGTCTGTATAATTTCTGAACTACCCATTTTATTTATTTATTTTTTTTTTAAAGGCATCTACCCTGCAATTTCCGTAAGGCAGCGAGGCGGCCTGTTTTCCTCAGAGTTCTCTGCATGACAAACAGACAGGGAAGAGACATAGGATCGTTAAATATTTGGGATTAACCATTAAGAGGACGGCTGGAAAGGAATCGGTGTGCTATAAAGAAATTTTAGTGGCATCTACTTTTCTGTTCACTCTACCCAATATGTGACAGAGCTGTTGTGGGGGTCACCATGTCACCAGACCCCCGCAGTCCCGGTCCCACAGACACTCACGGCACTGGAACAGGTAGGATCCCACAGCACTGGGGCCCCCATGGGCCACTCACACCCCCGAGGGACAAGCAGGAATCCCACCCAAAAAGCCACTGAGGGGCTTCCAAACCGAGGAATGTCCCCCCACACCGACCTGTTGTGGCACCTCCGCATCATCCAAAGGCACCTGCTCCTGGGGGCGCTGAGCTAGTCCCCCCCAAAACCTACCCAGGCCAGCATGGCACTTCACACCCCACCACCAACCAAGGGAGCCAAGAGACCCCCAGATCTCCTGGGCCAAGCTTTCAGGGGGGCAGGAAGGATGGGGGGCACCAGTAGGAACAAGGGCACCGGGGAAGGTACGGGGGTGGGGGCTC